TTATTGTTATAAATTGACGTCTCAAGTTGAATTATATAAAATTTTATGAAATTGAGGATGATACTAGACATCAACATGATGTTAATGCTAATGATGACATGAAGGCAGATAATATGTCAAACACTTTGGCTCAATTCAAAAAATATTAAGAAGAGGAAGATAATGTGGATAGTAGAAACGAGGTTGAGATGTATTTAATTAATAGTTATAAGGTTATTAATGATGATAAGTTAGATATTTTATGTTGATAAAAACATAATGCTTCGAATTATATGATCCTTTTAAAGGTCTAACAATAAGTGCTAGCTATTCACGTATAAATAGTGACTTTAAAATCAGCCTTTAACATTGATCATCATGTACTCGTTCAATTTTAAAATTTTTTTTTGTCTCCGGTAACAATTAAAACACTTGTTTATTTTCTTAAAAAAAAAAAATTGTCTCTAGTAACAATTAAAACACTTGTTTATTTTCTAAATTGGTTGCATTATAAATCAATTCCAATCAACATTAAAACCTTATAGATGATATTGAAACCTACAAAAACCTTAAGTTAGGTAATTTATCTTATAAATTTACATGTTTTATTTTATAAATTATTAATTAACACATTTTCAATCTAACATGTCTAATTTTTTATTTTATATAAATTAGCGAAAAATTGAATATGATAATAAATGATAAAATTAGTGAAAAATTGAATATGATAATAAATGATAATTAATTCAAAAATTAAGGACATTGTAGGTAACTAACTTTGATTTTTTTAGTGTGTGTAATCATTAATGCCCTCATTTTTAAATGATGTATTGACAGTTGCATTCTAACGTTACAGGCATGAGAGATTTTTTCGTTTCTTAATTCTCATATGTTTGAAGGATGTGTGTAATCATTATGCCTCTTTATTCTTATATTGTGAGACATGGATTTTGACATAAATTGAGGTTGTTTTCCTCTCTAAAGGAATAATTTTTATGTTTATATTACTAGTAAGAAATTTTTTTATGAATGTTTTTATTAAATGATTGAGGCTACTTCTAAGATTTTTGCACAAAATTAACCCATGAACAAAGAAGAAAAATTCCAAAAAAGAATTTGAATTTAGCTATAAAAAGCCTATAAAGAGCAAATTTAAGTAGCTATAATAAGAAATGAAAGCCCAAACAAATTGGTCAATTAGCTAAAAAAAATCAAGGAAAAAAAATTATAAGACCCTAAAAAACCCATAAGTTTTGTTGGTTTTTCTCTTTAAAAATCCGAATCAAACCAAATCGCAACTTATCAGTTTGAAATCAATTTTTGGTTTGGTTCGTTTCTAACAATATATATTTGGTTTGTTTAGTTTTTTTTTGTCAAAATCCAACCAAACAAAAAATATTTACCCTTAAAAAAGAAAAAACCACATTTACACTTGAGAAACTAAGTGACACTAAGAGTGTTTAACTCTTTAAGGAGAGACTAAAAATATCTTACCATTAAACTTAAAAGAACTTGTAATAAACAAACTTAAAATATAAGTTTAGCATCTACCCTTAAAAATTATATAATAATAATAATAATAATAATAATAATAATAATAATCACCCTCATTTTAATCAAAATAAATTTTTTATTTTAAATTAAAATTTTTGGTATTCTTAAATTGCTTTAATGTGTTAAAGTTAAAAATAAATTTTAAAAAATAAAAAATATATTATTTTAATGTATTTTTAAATAAATAAATATAAAAAAACAATAGTTATAATAGTTGTTGTAACCCATTTTTAGGTCCCGCATAAAAAAATAAAAAATAAAAAAAATAAAAAATATAGGTTTGAAAAAACCCAAAAAAATAATAACAATAAAAAAAGGATGTCAAAGCGCCTAGAAAATGGTTAAAAATTGGTTGATAGGTTCAAAAATACAAAGACTGAAATTTGATAGTATTTTGTCAACTAATTAGAGCCTTGTCGATAAAGAAAGTTCAATTTGAGGAAGAAAAGTTCAAAATCAGATATTTATATACTCAATTAAATTTTATTGAAGGTTTAATTGAATTTATGGAGGGTTTGATTGCAAGAAAATTGATTTTGAAGTCAATTTAGTATTTAATTGGAAGAAATTAAAGTTTTGAGGTCAAATTATAATTTTTTAAAATTAATTTGGTCAAATCAGTGGCTTAATTGCATAAATATTGAATTTTGATGGCAAATTAGGGACTTAATTTGGTCAAATCAGACTAAACTAGAAAAAGCATATAAATAGAGCGGCTGTAATTAAAATCGAGTTAAGGATCAATTTGAAGAAATTAGAAGTTTATTAATCAATTGAAGGTCAAATTGCATAAATCATAAACCAAAGATCAATTTGGAAAAGGCGACCAACTTCATGGCTGAGGATTGAATTTGACAGGGATGCAATTGAATTGATTTTTTAAAATCAAAATTGCAATTAAAGACTTAATTGAACAAATCTCAAATTGAAGACTGATTTGGACTTTGACATATTTTTGTCATCATTTTTTTAAATGAAATAGCGCATTTTGGACAAAACAACATTGTTTCATCTATTGTCCATTAAAAAAAAAAAGGTCAAAACGGTGCTGTTTTGAATGGCACTGTGGGTCTTCTTTTTCCCCTGGATGTACGAAGCAGAGGAAGAAGAAACAGAGGTAGAAAGAGAGAGCAAGAAAAAAAAAAGAGGAAAAGAAAAGTAAAGAGAGAAAGAGAGGAAAAGGAAAGAAAAAAACAGAGAGAGAAAGAGAGAAGGAAAGAAGAGGAAGAAAAACATAGTAGAAAAATGAAAGGAAAAAAAAAGAGGAAGGATAAAAAGAACAAGGGAGAAGTAGAGGAGAGAAAAAGTAGCGCCACCGAGTTCAACCACCGTCTGCACTGCCGCAAGCCACCGCCGACAACAATAGCCACGCCCCTTCACGCCGGGTAATCTTCTCTCCTTCTCTTCTCTATCTTTTATTTTTCTTTCATTTGCATGCAGAACATGAGCAATTCATGTTTTGCAACAAATGAATAATTGGCTAGTTATTGCGTTGCGCATAGTAACCAACCAATTACAACCTTTTGGGCCAATGCTGACCCATTTTCATGATGGGCCGATTCTGGCCCATTTTTATCTTTTAGGCTGGTGCTAGCCCATTTCATTTTCTTTATGTTGGGTCGTGCTTGCCTATTCCAATTAAATACACCATAACAATACAAATCGGGTATTAAAATACACAATTTTCATCAACTAAAAAATGAAAAAGAAAAAAAAATTATGCATACAGTCAAATATCTCAAAGCTAAAAAATCATAGTGTTTGAAGAAAGAGAGAGCAAGAAAAAAAAAGAGGAAAAGAAAAGGAAAGAGAGAAAGAAGAGAAGAGAGAAAGAGAGGAAAAGGAAAGAAAAAAACAGAGAGAGAAAGAGAGAAGGAAAGAAGAGGAAGAAAAACATAGTAGAAAAATGAAAGGAAAAAAAAAAAGAGGAAGGATAAAAACACAAAGGGAC